CCCCCCAACTCGTGGGCGAGATCTTTGTTAGGCGATTTAGATCTCTTGAGCCCCACCATTGGGTGTTTTATGTCTAAGGGGCCAGGTGCGCCGCCGGAGATGAGAGGTATACCAACTCCACTATTGCGAATGACCGGGGCGGCGCAAAGGGTTGAATGACCCACGAATCGGCGAAACATATAGAGTGAGCCTACATGCGATTTCTTTAAAGAGGATCATGCGAGCAGGCAATGCCAAGGCCCTATCGAAGAGAGGATATGCCACGATGGCAATATAAGAATGTTGCACACCATGGGCAACTTCAAGAGACTCTCGACTCATCCACGGCGCCTTCCTTTCACCATCTGTCTTTGGTCCGGCCCATTATGAAGTCTTCAGTCTTCTTCGGCACGGCTCTTGCCGCCTTTGCTAAGCTCGCTTCAGGTGCCGGCGTCACCGGCGCTGCCGAGGGCTTCGCCAAGGGAGTTACCGGCGGCGGAAGCGCCACGCCCGTCTACCCCACAACCACCGCCGAGCTTGTGTCCTACCTTGGCGATAGCTCGGCACGGGTGATCATTCTTACGAAGACATTTGACTTCACCGGCACCGAAGGCACCACAACGGCGACTGGGTGTGCACCCTGGGGAACGGCTTCTGCCTGTCAGCTTGCCATCAACCAAAATAGCTGGTGCGACAACTACGAGCCAAACGCGCCAAAAGTGTCAGTCAGTTATGACAATGCCGGCACTCTGGGCATTACTGTGAAGTCCAACAAATCACTGGTCGGCCAAGGAAGCGCCGGTGTCATCAAAGGAAAGGGCTTGAGAATTGTGTCTGGAGCCAGTAACATCATCATCCAGAATGTTCACATCACAAATCTCAACCCCAAGTACGTCTGGGGCGGTGACGCCATCACGCTAGACAACACTGGTAAGTTATAGATGTATTTGATTGCAGTGAAGCTTGAACTAACACAGAAGCACAGATTTGGTGTGGATCGACCACGTCAAGACTTCACTCATCGGAAGACAGCATATCGTCTTGGGTAGTAACCCATCTAAGCGCGTCACTATTTCTAACTGTGAGATTGATGGCAGCACATCGTGGTCTGCAACTTGTGATGGTCACCACTACTGGGGCCTCTATTTTACCGGCTCTAGCGATTTGGTCACTCTCAAGGGCAACTACATCCACCACACCTCTGGCCGCTCACCCAAGGTCGGTGGAAACACATTGCTTCACGCTGTCAACAATTACTGGTATGCCAACAGTGGGCACGCGTTTGAGGTAGATTCAGGCGCCATGATTGTTGTGGAGGGCAGCGTGTTCCAGAATGTCGCCAACATGGTTGACACCTCGAGCATTGGGGGGCGCATATTCACCAGTCCTGACAGTAGTACCAATGCCGCCTGCTCAAGCTACTTGGGCCATGCCTGCCAGGTCAATGCGTTTGGTAGCACCACTAGTTACGTGGGTACGGACACAAGCTTCTTCTCCAACTTCGCGGGCAAGAATGTCGCCAGCGCCAGTACGGCAACGAGTGCTCAGAGCACCGTGCCGAACAATGCAGGTATTGGAAAGATTTAATGGTGCCGCAATACGCTTGTATGTGTGCAATAATCGTTCGTTGCTTTGTATATATTTGAATCATACCTGCTGTATATGGAATACGAGAGAATACTTGATCTCTACGACATGGATGCTGTGAAGTTTCTCACAAGTCTGTGAATCGTCCGGCCCATGTTTCTCTAGTATATAAACGATTGAAAGCATAGTGTCATTCGGCTCTAGAACTGGAACTAGACACATTGCAATGCTGTTATGTTGTAATAAGGACTGCTTTTGCTTGTTCTCTTCATTCGAAGATTGATGCGCATGAGAAAACGTTCATTTATCTCAATAACAGATAATAAAAACTGCATGTCTTTGTATGGTAAATAGAGAAAATTCAACCAATTGCACCTACTTGAACGATACTTTATGGTATATAGTCGCAAGTTGTATGCATTCGTGCAGATACCGGTGCAAGCGAACGAAATCTGCAAGAGCAAACACAAGTTTGGCTCTTGGGCTGATTCGCCACGGCATACTGCGGTTGCGTAAATTTGAAATTCGTTTTTGCCTCTACGCATCACAAAGCTGTCTTGACTTGCCCCAAATCTAATGTTGGTGAAAGATTCAAGACTCTCAACTACAGGTTCATTAATCTGTTCGCAACGACCCAAACTCGCATCGAAGGATTTCCCCATTAAGGACAGGCCGATGTAAGGCCATCATTTCATCCTCAATGAAAACTGTGCGCTAATTTGATCCCACTGACTTGACTTGCTGAGTAGGAATAGACTTGTCTTGGCTCTCAGCTTCTAGGGTTGAGTCCTCCGGGGAGGGACTCGGCAAAGGATGGTCTGCCTGTCGCGCCGCTCTTTTGTCTCGCCACAAAAGAAATTGTATGGTTCCGGTCACGCCCACTTGTCATCATTAGCCGCAAGTTTTGCACCGAGCGGTGAAGCACCCACCAAGAAGAACTTGAAGTACGATCGACCAGGTATACCCCTTCCTCGCTGCGGGAAATTCAACCGTCTTCCACACAAAATTGGGTGCCTAGAGTTGTCGCACTTAGCCTGGAATCGGAGAGCATTGATAGTCAAACTTACGACAGCCTGCACTACATAAGCAAGGTCATTCGCCGCAGCGACTAGCAATGCACGCTTTTCTGTATCGGCTGAACAGATTTCGTTGATCCATGTAAGAATCAGAGGGCCAGCTCCGTTCTAAATATAATGTCAGCCATCTGGAACTGTTATCGGGGATGGAAGGACCTACTCCGATGGTAGAAAGCCAGTACACGACTGTGCGGCCATGGATATCAGAGTATAGAGGCATCTTCAAGAGAACAACGCTGAAAAAGAGCTACCAGAAAAGTGTGAGTTAGTAACATATTACAGAAAATAATCCTCGGATACGAACCGTAATGATAGCGCCAGCCTGGATAAAAGGCCAACGAGCGCCGCGACAGGGGCCATCAGAAAGCCAGGCCCATGTAAACGCCATCCCGATGAAAATTCCAGTTCCAGGCAAGGGCACTGTATTAAGTTGTCAGTCTCCAAGATCTGGTATCTTGGTTGCCTTCACGGCCAGTAGTGCTGGTCCACTCACGGTTGTTAATCTGTGCTACAGTGTAGGATACGCCCGGGACGGGGGGTGGCTTCGCATTGAAAGACTTGAGCCAATAGCCCATCGCTTGCTGAGGGCTGCCATTGTTCCATACAATGTAGAGCAGGGCTAGATTTGACGGTCAGGTCAACTCGTTATAGACTATGTCTCCTATACCGAAGAGATATGGAGTTAATGTGAGAGGCAGTACGTACGGAGGAGGTATGTGTGCCAACTAAGCAGAATTCGTTTGACTTTTGCTTTGCTCCAAGGCTCCTTACCAGCACGTCCTACGGCTGCCATCCTCTTAACTGAGAGTACATGCTCGTCTTCGGTCGTCCACCAAGTCTTAATGCCGCCTTGGGGCAAGTTAGGGAAGAACAAGTAGCCAGCGACTGCGAGCGGTAATGTAATAATCCCGTCAATGATGAAGAGCCATCGCCCTGTTGTTCATGTGTAAGCATTTCTATAATATCCCTAAGAGCATTGCTAATATCTCAAGATCAAACACCTACATCCAGCATAACCATGCACTCCGTGCAGGTTGGTGTAAGCAGCAGCTTGGAGGAAGCCACTGAAGAGCGAACCAATGGTGCCAGCCAACCAAAAGATCATGGCACGTTTGCCAATCTCCCGGGGCGTGTACCAAGAGCCTAACATGTAGTGGATACCAGGATAGAAGCCGGACCTGCGATCTTAATGAGTGCCGAGGTCGAAGTGGAGCGCTGACCCACGCAACGAGGGGTGATACGTACTCAAACAAGCCCACGAGAAACCGCATGGCATAAAGGGCCCGGTACGACTTCACGGAGGCCGTGCAAATGGTAGCAATTCCCCATCCAACTTCAAGTGACGGAATAACCCATCGCGGCGAGATGCGGGTCAATAGTAAGTTCGAAGGAATTTGACCGATCACGTAACCCACAGTCCAAATGGAGACGCTGGTGACAAGCTGGTTACCGTACATGTTGAGATCCTCCTTCATACCGCTTAGAAAGGCATTGTTGACGTTGCTCTGGTCCAAATTCTTCAAAAAGTAACCAATTGAAGCAAAGGTGAGCACGAAAGCGTCTACCTTGAAGAGCAGTTTGCGTTGATCTGGTGGCAGCTCCCATGTGTCCCAGAGATAACCCTTCCAAGTGCGAGTAGGCTTTACGACAATGTGCCCTTGACAGCTGTGAAGCCCGGCCTCGGGATCCGGGTTCTGAATGTCGTGAACAGGCTCCGGCCTCGCGTCTTCTGTGCGTCCCATTGTCACCGTTGTTTTGTCATAAACGAGAAAATCACAGTTTCAATTTGAAGGTAGCAAACCTGCTTTTCCCTCTATCTTTTGACCGTATTCATGTTCTCTGGGAGAGCGATACCTCTTAGATATGCACGGGACCCCTCTGTAACCCCTATGTTCTCATTGTCCCCATCGATCGCGTCACTTGGTTCATCTTATCAGGTCGCCTCTCGACCTTCTAATACCCCTGGCCTGACCCCCAAACCCCCTCACCTGGGACAGCCAAAGCATGATCCTCGATACACGCACTAGCTCTTGAACAGAATGTACCTCCGACGCTGCAGTCTCTTCAGTGCGGCTACCTGGCGTTATATGCTTAGGAGATGGCACCTTCAAGCCACGCCTACCCAGACCAGCGCCTCATACACTTCAGCAAACAAGTAAAAGTGCGGACGGAAATAGGCTCTCGTAGGGATCTTGGAATAAACATATCTGGATCGTCAGATCAAAGGCGCTGGAAGATCGCATTGAATTCCTTTACTTCGAAGGTACCTACACACTGTCTAGCATTATACTTACAATCTCGTCATGAGTGACCAAACTCCTTGCTCATAACCTGCTCGGATGGCCCGTTGGTAGACCGCCTCTTGTACCTTCTGCCTTGGCGCCGGAACACGCAACTTCAATATGCCTCATTCTAAATCATGAATCGGAAGTGGATTAGCCTCCAAGCCGGTACGAGCCGCTGTGGAATTTGCCAGTGCAGAATAGGAGACTTTCGACTATGTACGATGCAGGTGGCGATATCCGGTAGCGCCCACTAGTACCTCGACATTTCGGACAAACATCGAAATGGAGCGGCTGAGCGCTGAACAGGTCATCTCATAGCTCATTCCCGTTTGATGTTTTCTCGCGTGTCGCTGGCCGGAGCAATGAGTCGATCTAGACTGATCACATCATTGACCCCGCATTAGCTGTGGCTGGCGATGATAAATCCAAAAGATAACAACGCTCTTGTTACTCGGCAGTCGGTCATGTGGGTATCAAGGCGTGATTATGCAGCATCTGACGAAATATCAGATCCTAGCAACAGAGCTTATAAAAAACCTCCATGAACATACACACAGCTACACATGGCAATCGGAAACCCCGGAAGGTTTCTCTGATTGCCCATTATCTCCGTCATCATGCCGGTCGAGTTTATCAGTCTCGTTTTCCCCAACCAAACCAACGAGCTCAATCCGGGCTTGGGCTCGTCCATCGACCCGGACTTCCTGACGCGATATGCTCGGACACTGGATGACTATGGCTTTCAATACACCCTCCTACCTTATGACTCCGGAGGCTTCGATCCTTGGACCCAAGGGGCTACAGTTGCCGCCGTGACCAAAAACCTCAAGGTCATCATCGCTCTGCGACCAAACACAGTCTATCCTACTGTCGCTGCGAGGGCGCTTGCGACGCTAGACCAGCTAAGCCGTGGCCGTGCCGTGGTACACTTCATCGCTGGTGGCACTGATGAGGAGCAAGCACGCGAGGGCGATTTTTTGACTAAGAATGAGCGGTACAGCCGTCTTGAGGAGTATATTCGCATTCTCCGCCGCGCCTGGTCCTCCGCCGCGCCATTTGACTGGGATGGTAAGTACTATCAGTTCAAGGGCTACGCCAATCGCGTACGACCGGTCAACGGCACCATTCCCGTCTCCGTCGGCGGCTCGTCCCCGGAGGCGTATCGTGTAGGCGGCTCGCTTGCTGATATCTTCGGTCTCTGGGGCGAGCCGCTCAAAGAGACGAAGGAGCAAATCGACCGTATTTACGCCGAGGCGGAGAAGGCCGGCCGTAAAGACCGGCCTAGAATCTGGGTCACCTTCCGGCCTATTGTAGCCGAGACAGAAGAGCTGGCCTGGGCGAAGGCGCACAGGATTTTGGAACAACTGAACCGCAACTCGGAGGCGTTCAAGAAAGCTTTGCCTAACTTTGCTGGTCGCGATGGAAAGCCTCAGAATACCGGCTCCCAGCGGCTTCTAGAGATCGCCAAACGGGGTGATGTCCAAGATCGTGCCTTGTGGTATCCCACTGTCACCGCCACCAATGCCCGCGGCGCCTCCACTGCCCTTGTCGGTTCGCCTCAGACGCTGGCAGACTCCATTCTTGACTATGTCGACCTCGGAGCCGAGCTCATCTCGATCCGTGGATACGACAACTACAACGATGTAGTTGATTACGGACGGTATATCCTTCCTCTTGTACGAGAGGGACTGAAGGCGCGTGAGAACGGATCAAGGCAATTTGACGCTGCTAGTACCACAGCACCGGCACAAGAAGTTCCTGCTGATGGCTCGTAAGGAATTTCTGTCGTGGCAACACTGACGACTACGTCATTCTGTATATCAATGAACCGACATCATGGAGCCTTTCAGGCATCAGGATATTTAGAAGAGTCGAAGATGATATAATTTATTAAGTTTAGTAGAAGCAAACTAGTTGTTAGAATACAACTATACAAAGCATGATATCATTAGACCTTGCAGACAACTATCTCTTAGTTTAAACCCATATCTAATTTCTATTTAGGCTTCCTCGACTGTAGTAGGGAAATAACTGTCTTCCATCCCGTTAGGCATAGTGCCGCCGGCGATTTCAGCGTTCTCGACAAAAGCCCGAATTTCGGCCTCCTCTTCATCCGAGAGCTCAACCTCAAGTGCGCCCCAATTCTCTTCCACATAGTTTACCTTCTTAGTGCCAGGTATTGGGATGATGTCATTGCCCTGTTTCAATAGCCATGCCACTGCAAGCTGCGCAGTTGTGCAACCTTTCTTCGCAGCCAGAGTCGTGAACTGCGAGGTCAGGTGGATGTTCTGGTCGCGGTTGTCTTGATGGAATCGAGGGAAGAAAGATTCGCGGATATCTTTGTCGCCAACGACTCGGCCGCTTGAATAAGGCGACGTGAGCATACCATGACCAAGAGGCGAGTGAGCAACAACTGCAACGCCAAGTTCGCGGCTCGTGGCGAGGAGGTTAGTGCCCTCTGGACCTTCAATGTCGCGACTGAAGACGGAGTATTCAATTTGTATCGCTGCGACGGGCGCAATCCTAACAGCTCGCCGCAAATCGGTAGAACTTAGATTCGAGAGGCCGATGTGCTTGATCTTTCCCGCGCTGATACATGAATGTCACCATTAGAATGATATGTGGCACAAGAGCCAGAAGGTTTGTAGCTTACGCCTTGAGTTCAGCCATGGCCCGCATGGACTCTTCGATTGGTGTCTTAGTGTCAACAGCATGCATGTAGTCTTGAATATAATAGTGGTTAGCTGTGACCTGCCAAAATGCTAGTCATGCCCCCCAAAAAAACAGCATTTGTAGCCACGACAAGGAATTTGCCAATATCAGCTCGAAGACTTACATAAATCGATTGAATCGACACCTAGGAGCCTTAGGCTTTCGTCACAGCATTTCTTGCATGCCGCGGCAGAGGTGTCCATCTCGTAGCTAGAGCTGTTCTTCACATATCCATATTTTGTCGCCAGAAATATGTCATCACGCTTTCCCGTCCGTTTGAACCATTTTCCGATGAGTTCTTCGCAATCGCCGTACTTGCTAGATGATTGTGAGCGAGCGACTACCACTAGCTGCAGAGCGGTATGGAGCCTTGGCCGACCTACTCAGACGTGTCCCAAAATGTAGCACCAAGCCCGTGTGCGGAATCAAGCACTGCGAATCGCTCTTCGTCCGAGGGCAGTGGTCCATAAATCGGAATGCCCATCCCCATGAGACCAAGACCGATGGCTGGCACCTCGGGACCGTTCTTACCGAGCTTGCGAGGAGATAGAGACATGCTGGGCAATGGTAAAGGAAAGTTTATCAAAGACAGGTACTAGCAACGATTACCTAGGTAGCTCAGAGACAGCGAGGCGACCATCTTATACTCCGAGGCTAATCAACTCCTTAGACTCCAAGACTCGGACATAGGGAATAAAGTGCTTAATTGACGACCGAACTAATACCCCTTTCTTCTCCTTCTCCTCCCTGAATCTCTTCGCAAAGCTACCACTCCAATGGAACTGTGGAGAGGCGTCAGGCCAATCACCTTGTGGTCCTAACGAAGAGACCAATGGCATGCCAGGTCCGCGTGGAGCGCGATGCAGCCAATCACGGAGCCGAACAGCCGAAGCTGCGAAGACTGGCGGGCAATGAACGCATAGGCGCAAGGTTTCGATCAACGTCGCTTCATGCGCAACAGACGTGACCGGATGTCTTCAGCCATGCGTGACACGAGAAATCGTGAAAAGGACGGCAATGAACGCCACAGAGAGAGTGCGCGTGTTAAGTCCGGGTGTCGCACCTGCAAGTAAGTTACCCTTGATCCGCCACCTCTGTCTTGGCTCACTTACGTCCTCCCCTTTCTAGAGCAAGGAGAGTCAAGTGCGACGAGGGTCGGCCTGCCTGCTCCCGATGTACCTCGACTGGCCGTACTTGCGAGGGCTACGGTATTTGGGGGGGTGGTAGGAGCATCACCAATCCTAATTCAAAGAAAAAGTCGCTGTCCCGGGGTACAGATGGCTTTGTCCTTCGGTGTCCGGCGCCCATCTCGGTCCTCGCAGGTACTACACAGGAGAAAGACTATTTTGACTGGTTTAAGACCTGCACCTTGCACAAGCTCTCCGGATCGTTCATCTCGAGGTTCTGGAACACTCTTGTTATCCAGGCTAGCTTTCAGGAACCGGCTGTCATGCATGCCGTTCTTGCACTCAGTGCGATTCACAGGAGAGGTGTCGTGACCAATGCCGAGGAGGAAACACCGAGTGGGATAGATTTCCGAAACCAAGACCAATTCGCCCTTGCTCACTACCTTCAAGCGATACAAAATCTCCAATCGCACTTCGAGAACCAGGCCAAAGCGTCTTTGCGAGTCGCACTAATAACCTGCATCTTATTTATCACGTTCGAGTTTTTTCGCGGTCACTTCGAGGCAGGACAATGCCATCTCGAAAGTGGTCTTCGAATTCTTAGCGACTTGCCTGGTGCTCATGACTATTTCTCCCAGCGGAAGCCGAGCCAAGGTTTTGTAGACGACTGGATCCTCGAGGCCTTTTCCAGACTTCAGTTCCAAGTTGAACTTTTCAAACTCTCTTATCAGGGCCCCTGCTTAAATCTGTCAAGGGGCAGGTCTGCACATTCGGGTATCACCTTTCAGTCAGTCAATGAATGCTGGCATGAGCTACAGCGACTCATAAACGACATCCTTCGACTGGATAGTCAATGCTACCGGCTAAGTGGCCAGGCTGAAGTCTTGGAAAACTTTCCGGCATTCCTCAAGCAACAACGATGCCTCCAGAACGAACTAGAGCAGTGGCTTTATGCATTTGAAATACTAAGAGTTACGTTCAGCCAAGGCCGCATGGGGTACGAGGAAAAGAAGGCCTATAAAATCTTGCCTGTGTATCACAACATGGCAACTATCATGGCAGGTGTATGCCTAAGCTCTGGCGACGAATCGGTCTTCGATGCCTATTCCACACAGTTCGTCGTTATAGTAGGCAAAATGGCCGAGCTTTGGGCTGTGTCTCAGCCTGCTTCACCCCATGGGCGCAGCGCAGGCCGCCATCCAGGGGACTTTTTGAACATGGCCCACTGCTATGCTGACATAGGCTGGATACCAGTACTCTTTTACGCGGCCATCAAATGCCGTGTTCACCGTGTCCGGCTCCAAGCCATCCAACTACTTGAGTGTTCCACACACCGGGAGGGCATTTGGGACTCCCGGCTTACGGCGTGTATCGCACGCAAGGCAATGCAGATGGAGGAGCGCGATTTCTACCAGGGCATTGACACACGCGACAGCTTCCCGCTCTCCGGTTGTCCCACCCCATGGGATCTGTCGTTGCCGCTGATACCGAGTTCATATAGAATACGAAGGCTAGACGCTGCCTTATTGGGAGAGCCTATGGAAAATATAATAATGTCCGGCGAGAAGGAAGAAAATAATGTTTATCGGAGATCTGTGTTGTCTGAGTATAATGTTCATACACAATGCTGGACGGATCGATCAGAAATGAGTTAGGGACTATAGCTATATAGCTATTATGTAGTTAGAAGTTTTCAGATAAGTGTCCGACTAACTTTGCTCAGACTTGCTCAGAGACTAGCCTAACTAATCCACCACCTCTCATGATAATCTCTAAGGTCTACCTGATCGTCAAATGCTTCAGACCTCAGCCACGGGGTGAGATCCGTCTCTACTCCTTCCAAGCCATCTTTAGCTTCTACGTCTTTTGTCGTCCAGCCATTTCCAAGCCAGCCAAATCTATTTCCCTGGTTATTCCAATAGGTATACTCCCAGTCTTCCCATCTTGGTTCTTTCCTCACGATATCGACGTGAGCTGCGCTGCCTGGCCAGACGCCGTGGATACGACCACCCTTGATGCCTCCATTATACCAAGAACTACAATTCTCACTCATAACCGTACGAGGAAAGAAAGACTCACAGTACGCTCGAAAGTCGCGTGTTGCTGCAACTGTAGGTGCCATACTTCGAATTCCTTGCGTAGCGGCTTTGCGTAATACTTTAGCCAAGTATGTAAGCTGTCTCTCAACAGAATGGCATAGCGTCCCTGCCGGTCCTGTTGCGTTGGGTCCGAGAATTGTTATAAAGTTAGGTACCTCAGGAGCCGCTAAGCCAAGGTAGGTGTCTGGAAATCCTGGATTGCCACCAGGTCGCCATGCAGTTTGCAGATTGATGCCTTTATGAATGACGGGGAACTGAGTACTAAAGCTTATGTCATGTCCGGTACTACATATGACAGCGTCGACTTCTCGATGAATCCCTATTGATTTATCAGAGTTTTTCATTCATGTTTTGACTAAAGCATGAGAAACGGAACGGCTCAAACTGTACCATCAGTGGTGACAATTCCGGAGGCTGTAAATTTCTCTATCGGGGTTGTCACATAAGTGACATTTTCCGCTGTCAGTGCTTCAAGGTATCCGGGACCCGGTGTTAGACGACGGCAATTGGGTGAGAAGTCAGGGACAAAGTTCTCTGCAAGCCTGGAGTCGCCTTTCAACCTCGCCGTCATTTGTTCAGTGATGTTCTTGCGAGCCGCTGTGCTCTTACCCCCTCCTTTGAAAATTCCCCCGAATCGACTAAACAAACGAGCTTCAAGGGCCTTCCGGAATTTGAGATATTCCTCTGGGCTAGAGCGGGCTTGATCGATTCTATCGGCTACCATCTGAGCAAGATCCTCACCACCAATTGGGGACGCCACCCAGGTCTTGTTTCTCACGTAATGGTCAATGCGAGCCGCTACATTTTGCAATTGTGGCAGAACCTGAATTCCGGAAGCGCCATTTCCTATGACAGCAATACGCTTCCCCGAGGGGTCGAATTTTGGATCCCAATCCGAAGTATGACGGAGATGACCCTGATAGTCCTTGATTCCCGGATAGACTGGTAACCTTGGGTCGCTGAAATGGCCAGTTGCTGTCACAAGGAAGTTGGCTTCATCGACAAATTCTCCGTCAGGTGTCTGAACCTTGACCTCCCATTTGCCTTTTTTCTCCGACCACTCAGCTGAAACAACACGGTGATTTGTCTTAATGTATTTTCTTACATCATATTTGTCCGTCATTTTCCGCCAGTACTCTCGAATCTCAGCTCCGGCAGCATAAGCCTCGGTCCAAGATGTTGATGGTGAGAATGTAGCTTGATAAGCATGGGCTGGAACATCACATCGCACCCCTGGGTAAACATTGCTTTGCCAAACTCCACCCTGACGACATATTAGCTTCACACTTCTAACAAATCCAAGTGAATACTATGTCTTACAACATCGTTATTTCTCTCATAGATAGTCAATTCAATGTTAGGGACTTTAGCTGGGAGCAATATTCCTGACGTGATCCCACTGAGCCCCGCGCCAACCACAATGACTCGAATAGAACGGAATTCATCAATAGGATGCTCCTCGAGTTCCAACGGAGGCCATATCGTTCGAAGGGGTGGCGGGTTTACGGAAGTCCCTGTGCCAATTTCATTGCCGATGGGAGCATTCTCCTCGATCAGAGCACCCGGAGCCATGTTAGCTGCGAGCGATCAAAAGTCAGATGGCCGCGAATGATATCCAGCTGTGTCGCTCACTTGAGATCAAGTGTGATGCGATGGCAAATGCACGGTCTCACAAAAATCATGTTCGTACTATACCGGTTCACATGATCAAGAATCCCACCTAGGAGAACAAATACCTGACTAGACAAGGGCCACTTCTAAACGCGCTTGGCATTGAGCCCGTGTAGTCTAGGCTGCGCACGCCATCAAGGGAATCAATGTCGTATCAATGTGTGTTAGTTTTCTATTTACGAGTGTTAGTCCTGGGCAGGAACTAAGGGTCAATTAAAGTGGCTGTCTATCGATGGGTGGTTGCTAACATAGTCTAAAACGCTTCGCCTGCATGAAGTTATCCTCGCCACATCGGCGCCGTCACCGGAAGGCATCGGCTGGTCGTATATTTGCTGATTCCTCTACCAGTTGTCATTTGGCTTAGCACCGGATACCGCATTCCGATGAGATTTATCATACCCTTGGGACTTTGTTTTGCGTTCTGATGTTCTCCACATAGTTGATGGTCGGGCGCGCACGTCACCGTAGGGCCTTATGTCGTTTCTTCTACCCCTGCCGGCATGCGCTGCCGGCCCGAGACAATGCCAGTCCCATTGCTCCTCAATTGGACTCAAAAGAAGAGGTGCTTCATATGGGATAACGATGTTAGCCACGCGGTTTCCAGAGCGTTGCAGCAAATACCAATCACCATGTCTCGCTCCGACCCCTCCCCTGGCGATAAGCGGATCTTCATCAATGCATTTGACATGTTCACTCCGAGCCACTTGAGCTTCGGCCAATGGCGTCGCCCAGAAGACAAATCATCGACGAAGAGAAGAGATCTATCCTACTGGACAAATCTAGCACAAATCCTCGAACGCGGTAATATCACAACCCTCGTTATAGCCGACACATACGGCCAACATGATGTCTACAAGAGCAGTGCTGAGCCTACAATTCGGACATCATGTCAATATCCAATGGGTGATCCTGCTGCAGTGAGTATCTCTTCCAGTCTAATGAACACGTCTTCGCAGCAGCCAATTATTGAAGCTAATGTGACAAAGCCTGTCACAGCCATGGCAGCAGTGACGAAGAACCTAGGGTTTGTTATAACTACTAGCACAAGCTATGAATCACCTTTCGTGGTCGCAAAACGGTTTTCGACTCTAGACCATCTTACGAAAGGAAGGTTCGGTTGGAACATTGTCACATCGTTTAAAGAATCAGCCGCCAAAGCTGTCGGGTTGCCATTAGTGGATCATGATCGCAGGTACCAAATAGCAGACGAATACGTCGAGCTTCTCTACAAGTGAGTCATGGTCTGATGAATTATCGTCGAATTGTTGTCCCTGACAAGGTATTGCACAACAGAATCTGGGAAGGTTCTTGGGCCGATGATGCACTCAAAGAAGATGCAGAGAATGAAATATATGCGGACTACAACCGCATCCGATGGATCAAATATAAATCCGAGAACTTCTCAGTCGATGCTCCTCATATTCTTGATCCGTCACCGCAACGAACACCGTTCTTACTTCAAGCAGGAACTTCAGCGTAAGTCGAACAGGTCTGCTTCCTGGGTATAGGGATCAATAACTAAGTATTCCTTTCATGTTAGTGCCGGTATTGAATTCGCTGCAAAGCACGCCGAAGCTATCATGGTCTCCGGCCTTTCGCCACATGTAGTCGCACCGCGAGTAGAGGCAATTCGGGAGAAGGCGGAGCAGCTCGGTCGCGATCCTAGGAGTGTCAAAATATTCGCGATTGTTACGCCAGTCATTGGAAAAACAGATGAGGAAGCAAAAGAAAAATATCAAAAGGCACTTAAATATGCTAGTGCCGAAGCCGGATTAACCTTCTACTCTGGAAACGCTGGCATCGATCTTTCCAAGTTTGATCTAGATACAGAGATTAAACCTGACGATGCGACAGTTGACGGTCGTGTGCACTCGCTTGTCAGTAGCCTTAAGTATAGGGGAGACGATGTCCCCGCCTGGACACCGCGTAATATCGGAAAAGCTATGGCTATAGGAGGCAACGGTCCGGTGCCGGTGGGCTCGCCAGAACGTGTCGCTGACGCTCTGGAGGAATGGGTACGGATTGCTGATGTTGATGGATTTAATGTTGGTTATGTAGTCACGCCAGGCAGCTTCGAAGACGTTGTAGATCTGTTAATCCCCGAGCTGCGGCGTCGAGGTAGGTACCCGATTGAAGAAGAGTCTGGAACTATACGGGAGAGGATCTACGGTCGGGGCCAGACTCGGTTACGGAATGATCACGTTGGTAGCCGGTACAAATATGAAAACTCTCCAGATAAAGAGCAATAATACAAACTCGTTGGGCTAGGCCATGTAGGTGTCGGAGCAACTACAAAAAGTTGTCGCCATTTGCTAGAATCAAACCCAAGCTGCTGGGATCTAACTCTTGGCAGAAATTTCATCACTAAATTTTCTCTGAATAGATACTAGAGAGCATACAGGACTAGGTACGCGAGACCACTCACTTGTCATATTTACTGTAAATGCGTGCAAATTTGCTGAGTCGGGCCCCTGGTCTAGCCATCTCGTCATTTGTGCTTAAGTGGTGACAGCTAAAGCCGCATAGGAGAGACCCACCGAACTCGGCAAAGGAGTTGACTTGGTATTTTCCACATGCACCTTTTAAATCAAGGGCCTGCGTACTCACGTATCGTACAAGCTGACGCCCGAACGTCTATCGATTAACCTGAAATAACCGTTCTAAATTTCGCAAGGCACAAATATGGCTACAGATGTGACAACGAAGGAGGCAGCTGTCTTCGCCGATCCAGCTGACGCTGGCTTGTCTGATGCAGAGAAACAAGATGCGCCCCTTACACGGTGGGAGAGAATTAGCGAGGTGATTTGGGATGGTCGTCGAAGCAAAGAAGAGAAGCAGCTCGTTCAGCGGCTGGATCTGTTCATCATGTGAGATTCAATCTTATGGCGTCCTCGTCCGTAATTAACAGCAAATTCAGGAGCTGGGCGACCTTTGGATACTTCGTGCGATTACTCGACTCTAGTAATATTAGTAAGTATACTACACCAGTCAATGGCATGCAGAATCTTAAGCTCGTAAAGCTGACTGATTGATCACTAGCCAATGCCTACGTTAGTGGTATGAAGGAGGATCTCAACTTTCACGGAAACCAGTATAATCTACTACAGACATTCTTTACATGTGGTTATTTGGTTGGCCAAATTCCATCCCAGTTCATTCTCACGAGAGGTACGCCATCAGCGAGCTTTCAGAACCAGGATAACTCTAACGGTTCTTCACAGTTCGTCCCTCCCTCTACCTACCGACGGCAGAGCTGCTCTGGACCATAATCACATTCTGCTTTGCATCTGTTCAGAACGTGAGAACTGTCTTTGCCCTACGTTTCTTGCTTGGGATGCTGGAGAGTCCTTTTGCAGTAGGAGTCTTAACTCTTATGGGAAGTTGGTATACGCCGAGGGGTATGTCCGAGTTCCAATCCATTACGGGATGTCATTTTCTCAGCCCACAAACTAACTTTGGTGATACTAGAACTGAGCAAACGTATTGGAATCTTCTATTCAGCTAGTTATGCTGCTAGTATGTTCAGTGGTTATCTTCAAGCAGCCATCTACCGTGGCATGAACGGTACTGCCGGGTTGGCAGGATGGCGGTGGCTCTTTATTTTCTGCGGCATTATTTCCATCTGGGGTCCGATTTGGGGGTACTTCGCCGTACCGGACAACCCGTACATCACCAAAGCCCGCTGGATGCGTGAAGGAGAGCAGGCCAAACATATTGCTCGCATGAGTGCTATTGATCGTCGACAACCTGTTCCCTTGACCTGGGCCAAAGTAAGAAAGATCGTGACGCATTGGCCATTATACGTGTTCACCTTCACTCTGATGTAAGTCTCACCATGAGTGCGTGCAGTCGAATAGAAATCAAGCTGATCACCCAAAGATGCCATTGTGTCGTAACCCAGCCTCTCAATTATTTCAATGTCTGGCTTAAGTCACTTGATCGCTTCTCTGTATACCAGATCAATTTGTTTCCAACAGCTGCACAAGCTACCGGCCTTGTAACCACGTTGCTCTACGCATGGCTGTCAGACGGCTTTAAGAAGCGATGGCAAATTCTCATCATCCCCGCAGTAAGTTATTGTGGTTGACATCTTCAGGTTCAGTGAAGCTAATTCACCATAGACCATCAATTTTATTGGCATGGTCGTTGTCGCAACCGGGCCAAACTACGGTGCAACGTTCTTTGGTTACTTGATCAATGCCGCATCATGGGGCTTTTGGCCTGTACTTTACGTGAGACACCTTTTCTCGGAACTTGTCGATTGACTTTAGCTAAAACACAGTAGGCTTGGGCTATCGAAATCATGCACAAGGACATGGAAGAGCGAGCTATCGTTATTGGTGTTGCTCAAACATTTGGCCAAGCCTTTATCGCTTGGGTGCCAGGTAGGATCTCATTTGCGTTTCATGATATCTCATTACTAATTCTATCAAGTTCTCATCTTGAATGTTGGCAAATACGCACCAAAATTCCACATGGGTTTCAGTGTGATGAGTGGTGTCAGCGTTCTAGAGTTCGCCAGTATTTTCATTATCCGCTACTTCGCCAAATGGGAGGAGAAAAAAACAGAAGCTCAAGAATCTCTTTCCTCGAGTCACAGCAAGACAGCTACAGGTAGGGACCTCGAATAAACCTAGTGGAATGGAAGATGGCATCAACAAAATTACAGAGAAGTCGTCTTGAGCATGTTAGTACAGGTCAACATGGCATAGACGCAAGTGAGATTCACAAGTACATCAGTGGTCAAAATGATTATGTGGTATTTTGATGTAGCATGAAGCAAGATTACAGATCTTGTTGCCCACGCATATTAATTCGATAAACTTCAATGAGTCGCTTGTATTCCAAGGCTTTTTACAGAAGAGGCCATGCAGATAGCCTCCTAAATTTTGAGTTTGTCTCATGCTCATGGTATGAAAGGCGTCTGGTATGGCCGCTCAGCCTGGGGAGTGATGCGAGCCAAATGCCTCCGCTGCCCATTCTTCCAGTCCAGGATCGCCGTATGCTGAGAGTTCCGATTATCCCATACCACAACGGTCCGCTGCTGCCACTTGACTCGTGCCTGAAAATCGGCACCCATGGCAACATGATTGTATAGGAAATTCAAAATAAGCTCCGACTCTTCCTTTTTGAGACCAACAATTTCTCGCGTGACTAGTTAAAGGTATGATTAGCTCTTTCGTTAGTGAGGCCTTTGGAGACTGGCTCACAGGAAGGAGTTATGTAAATTGACTTTTCACCCGTTACAGGATGTGTTCGCACAATAGGACGTACATTGACGACAGGTTCCCGTCTTTTGATCCCTCCTCTTTTCGCACTAGAGTTGACTTGTTCAACTCCCGAGTGAACAGCATACAATCCATGCAAACGCTCTTGAAAAGCAGGCGACAAACGATTATATGCTTCTGCTGTATTTGCGAAGAGCGTGTCGCCTCCAGTTTCTGGGTTGTCGAGGACATACAAGAAGGTTATAACTGGAGGCTGCTCCTCATATGTTACATCTGAATGCCATGAGACAGAGCTTGTGCGAGTCTCGAAAAACTTCTCAGCTGTCTTATCACCAGCGACTCTGTGTACAATATGCACTTCAAGGAAGTCTTTGGGAGATCCTGATGTTGGGTGAACGTGATGTCGGCCAAAATAGCCACCGAACTCCAGAGCTCTCTCAATTGAGAGGTCTGCAAAATCCTGATTACGAAGGCAACCACCTTACGCTCGGCAACAAAGCGGGCGAGTTCATCTTTACCAGCATCATTCCTACTGCTGAGCTGGATTCCTTCCACTTCAGACCCTATTGTTGGCGTGAGATCTGCCACTCTAGTACCGACGGGTAGAAGATTCGAAAGGCTGGGATCAGCATCTTTGCCGTGTTCGTAGTGATCGAATACTTCGAGAGGAGGAAATCTCTGACTTGGATCCAAAGTTCGAAGATAATGCGGGTACTGGGCGCTGGAGTTCAGTGACAATGATTTGTTCTTTGATTATTGCACAAACCTTTGCAGCTTCTATACCATCACCACCGTGAATCTCCTGGTCTCTTATGTAATCCAACGCACTGCCGAGTTCTTTGTATTCCCCCGATCCTGAAGCAGGGAGCCTTAGTTTGGGATCAGACTGAGATACGAGCTCAGTGGCGGATCGACTGATAGACGGTGTCATGATAGCTATGGTTGGTCCCACCCACTTCCAAATTTGCAAGGTGGTTTGGAGCCAGGTTAAAGTTGGCAATTGACATAATCCAATATCATGAAGTGGAATTATGTATCCGGATGAAACTGCGACAATCGGAGTCCACAGGGCGACTAGACAGGGCGAATGACGTACTCACCCAATATAGCTAGAAATCTAGACTAGGTACTTCACTGAATACATCACATTGATATGAATAGACGCTCTCGCAATACCCAGGTACACAGGAATCTATTCCAATCAGATAATTCCCTGAGCGAGGAAGTCCACGCTCTCTCCACTAGCCCAATTCCTATTCCATTCGCCGCCTTGACTGACAAATGAGGCATACAGGTAACTTGAAAAGCTTAGAAGATCCTCTGTATGATAAGAGGTGACAAGCGCCTCTTGGCTACCTAGTGAGAGGACTATTTAGCTTGGAATTTTTAGCGCGACATGTCGCAATGGTAGAGTCTCAGTGACGCCATTCTTCGAATGTTCAAGATGTCACAGCATTTTCAAGGTTCTGTAATGTAAATTCTTCCAATGCTTGAGGGCGACTCCCCCAAGTGAGACTGGCACTTTGGAAGGACTACCCCGTAGTCCTCGGAAGAAATGATGTCGGCATCATCGCTTGGAACTATCCATCTTCTGTTCTTCAGATCACCATCCTGAGCCCTATCGAAGAAGTTTTGCGGAGCAAATGTTATGCTGCTCACCGCTTCGGAGAACAATGTGACAGGTATATCCTCTGCTCTAGTAAAATGGTGCATGCCAAGGTTGAACCAGACAACAAGATCTTCTTCATCAATGCTTTCATTATCAAAAAACTTCAAGAAATCCTGTTGAGGCTTCCAAGGGAGATTGGCGTTATGGACACTGTTAGCGAATGGTTCTGTATCGTGTTGCTGAGTAACAGCGAAGTGCGATTTTGCAAACGCCATGTTATGTCTAGACCAAGGAGATTTCATTGTGCTTAAGTGGATATTCGACTTGCCAGGTATAATACGATACCCACGCTTCTCGCCCCAAGCGTTTGTAGCCTTGGGATTTACAACAGTATACATCACTTCATGGTTAGATGACCAATTGAACTGCTGTTCTTTTTCCACAATCGTGGAGTCGAGCTGAAGTTGCTCAAATGCGCCCATCTCTGCAAACCAAGGCTGGCTTTGCATGACTGCCTTCAACTCAGTCTTCTGCAGGCTATTGGTGGAATTGATGATGTCAAAGTCCGCCTTGAAGGTGATGACGTGGTCGTGAATCGAGCCTTGAGTGGCTTTCTGGATGCGAGGACCGAATTTGCCCTGGTCTTTATAGTAATACGAGGACATCAGGTAACCCGATGCACGCACAGAGACTTCGAGAGATCCGTCTAGGCCAAAGGCATAATTAAAGATATAATCGTAATTTCCAACCGTGGCGATGAATCTGACATTTAGCTCTGCGTTCTTCACGACTCCAAGGTTCTCAAATCCCCATGTCCCCGACTGCACATTTGTACGGTCTCCCGCACGATGTCTGGAAAGTGGGTGCCCAGAATCTTGTTCGAAGATGCATATAGCATTTGAATGGACGACAGTCTGATTCCCTTCGAAGTACGACGTATTCCAGAAGGTACTTCCGAAGGGACAGTCAAAGCCTTCAACCAGTGAGAAAATGGCGCTACCCAGGCTGAAGGATGCATCGTGGTATACGGTTGAGGCCGCTTTGGGTTGGAAGCCTCCATACTGAGAAGCTGCCTCTTGCAGCGAGAGCTCATACAAAATTCTCTCCCCTTTGAAGCGAATATCATAAAACATTGGTCCGAAGGTCCGCGTATGGGTGATATAGAACGACCAGCCCATGTATTCAACATATTTCTCAGTAACGTCGACCTTGTACCTCTTGCCACCTATCTCGGTACTTTGGGGAGCTGCTCGACTTTCCAACGGCCTTTCTCCCAGCTCGGTCTGATACTTCACCAAGGCCCAGTCGTAATCTTTTCTCTGCGCAAATTCTTGCTCAAGCTCTCCTGCTTCAAATGCAGCTCTTAGCTCTTTGACCGAGGGAAACAAACGCTCTTTTGTCACAAATCCCTTCACGGACCAGAGACTTATATCAGTCCCTGTCCAGTCAATCAGGACATAAAAGTCAATCGGGAGTAAGTAAAGCGCCGGTCCTGGAAAGTGGAAGACAGCGTTGATGTGAGCTTGAGTGCCGTCAAGTGAAACCGGTGTACCAAAGTTCGGAATAATCGTGGTGCGGTTGTCGCTGAATCCATAGTATTGTGCGCCTGGAAAGATGGTACTAGTAATATCTACGATATCAATCATCGTCGGCGCGAGAATCTCTTCAAGGGCCACCCTCCTGGCGCCATCGACTCCCTGGCCATCAAATGGCACTGTTCCGCCCATCCCGCCGTTGTATATATAGTCCAGCTTCTCTACCTTAGTATCCGAGCTGACTGGAAGAGGTCCGATCATGTACTCCTGTGCGACAGGTTCGATTTTACCACCCTCGTATATGATCACTCTGGCGTATGACCTTGGAGGCGGCCCATCTCCGTCCAAGAAAGGTATGACGTCGGATTTGTTAAGCGGAAGAGTATCAATCCAATACACATGGTTATCGTTGATCCCGGCATATTCAGGTAGAGTAAGGTTTAATGCTTGCTCTGGATCATGCAACCAGTTCCAGACAGCTGTGTTGTCTTCGGGGAGAATCGGGGCCCAGACGTTGCGTCTCGGAGCATTTGTAGTCAAGGCGGCATCGTAAATGCTACAGTCTGAGCAGCTTGGCGGATTAATGCCATCCAGCGTAGGCGGCACTCGCTCGAGTCGTGTCACCGATATTGAGATGTTGAGACCGAAGGACGAGAGCGTGATTTTGAGGAGTATTGAGACGAAAAGAAGTCCGGCAATACTTTGGACGGCCCTCTTGATATGCTGTCGAAATCCTGGGATCGCACTATCTTGCACATCTCCATTATGAACGGTTCTGCTGTAGCCTGTCGGCTTCAATGCCAATTCGTCGTCCCCGGTTGCAGAAAATATAAGATCGGATACCATGGCCAGCATTCCTGGTGTGCAAGATAGCAAGGCGTCCAAATATGACGCAGCTCAGTCAATTCGCGATCTGTCGCTCTACGTGCAAGTAATTGAGGCTGAAGTAGCTTCTTCGAATTCTCTTATCGCAATCCAGAGGTGTGTCAGCTGCTAAATCTACCTTCAGTGACCTGTAGCAGCGGATCTTCGGCGTTCTCCGCAGGACGTTCACATCCAAATGCGGGATGGCTGCCGGATGACAGCCGACATGATAATGAGATCACTGGCAGGTCTTATCAACCCCAAACACGGGTATGAATTAGGCAGCTACAATGTAATGATGTGGATTCTCTGACCGATCTCATCTACGCTAATGCAACAATACATTTCGGGTTCACAGCTGCGGGATCTTCTAGTAAAGTAACAACAGGTCCTCCAGTACTGAAGCTTATCAGTCGTTGTGCAGGATCATCATCCCTACTTTATGACTCTTTGCTGCGGTCGTCTATAACTGGGACGGCCACCATGAGACCTATCAGACTGCGGGCGACTTCGGCAGCAGCCAGACATGTCGTTTCGCCCTTATTGTCGTAAGCAGGCGCGACCTCGACCACGTCTGCGCCGATGACCTTCATTCCGATTAGGCCGTCAAGAATGGTGAGAAGTTCGCGGGTCGTCCATCCACCCGGCTCGGCAGTGCCAGTGGCGGGTGCAAAGGCCTGATGAGTGCATTCAAGGTCAGCAACACTGGTAAGGAGAGCGATCAGAACAACCCACAGGATCCAGAACATCAATGTCGACGGTTATGTAAACTTTGCCGTCTTTGATGCGGTCTTTCAATTTTTGGATCACGCCTTTAGTGCCAAGCTCGTCAATGTCCCTCGCAGTAATGATCTCGAATCCGCATTCCACGTCGTTGTCAAGGTCAACTCGTTGCGTCCCAAGCGGTGCGCGAATACCTGCATGAATCGATGAGTCGTTTGAGATCAGCCCTTCCTCGTGTGCGATATGAAGAAACGTTCCGTGATTTACAGAGGCATATTCGGTGACGCCCCCGCCCCGAACTCGAGGGTTCCATGTATCAATATGCGAGTCAAAATGAATCACATTGACTACTCCCCATCGCTCAAAAGTAGAGCGTAGAGCAGCTAATGTTATCGTGTGGTCGCCTCCCAGCATCATAATTCGAGGAATCGTGGCAATGGATGCATTATTTGCCAGCCTTCCAGACACAATCTAGATAATTCTCAGTGATATGAGCTTGATCAGCAATAGACTCCCTGACAGACCTTGTGGGCTTTTACGAGCTGCTTGAGAGCAACTGTATTATCAATATACGTGAGCGGTGCATCACCACAGTCAACAAGCTTTGCCCACTCCTGGAATCTGTTTCGTCCAGAGTACACGTTCCATGAGTGAGGTCCCCGAATCCGACGTGACCCATCTCGGATGCCATGAGGTCCAAACCGGGCGCCTGGTCGATAAGAGGTTGCCGTATCGAACGGTGCTCCCAGAATCGCAATGTCGTACTTCTCAATCTCGTCATCTGTCTTGGGTGCGAAGCACGGTACGTATGGCAGATGAGCGAACGAGGTCAGGCCGCCTACGGGATCAGTAGTCAAATCAACATCATCATCCAGGTCTGCATCAAGCCCGATGGGCCTTCGTCCGGAGCTTCCGTGTATTGCAGCGACTGGAGGAAATATGATCTCGCGGGCTTGGCTTCCTGCCACGAGCACGTAAAGTAAAGGCTTCAACATGACGGGTCCGAATACATAAATTATCAAAATTTAAAGTTGTTAGACTCAATGTCAGCATGAAACTATAAGCGAAATAGTCAAGCTTTGCTACCACCGCGAAGCTGCTGGACTTTTCTTATCGTTATCGGCTCTGGTTGTAGTCATTGTGGAGGTGAGATAAGCCTGCAGACATCGATTGCTGATCCCACAGGTCAGGTGTGGGGATAGATAGGGATCTCTGAACACAACACAGCACAGACGATCTAGTACGTACCGGCGCAGGCCGTACTCTGGTTCCTTGTGAAGTCTACCTCTTTTAGAGTTGGGTTCTCCCCAAAGCTTGAAGGAATGCCTTATCAAAAGGCATTCGCCCCTGTCATATCCACCCTGCATGGCCTGTCACGCCCCGCCTGATGCTCCTCGAAGTCATCTCAAACAGGAGTGTAATGCGTAGATGTGTGGCTGTACCACTCATGCCCGTCTCCGTCTTTGATATGGGGCCCACCTTCGGGCCGCATCACAACTACCGATGCTCCAAGAATATGCTGCTTGTGTCATTGTTATCAACCTGCCGGCGGCAAAGTCCGATTATTGCCGGACATGAGGAGAGAGACAATAGATGAGTTCACTTTCACGGCCCCTTCTTATCTCTATATCTCGAAAGATTCTTCTGATATTGCTATCAACTCTATTCAATACATATAGTATACATAGGTAAGGTCTCGGACTCCGTTTCAAGGCCAATTCAAAGCAGTCTATCAAACAACTCAAGCCAGGTTTGACGCTACCCACCTTCTGACAATAGAATATGAACGATACTATGATAGATGATACCTGGAGTGATCCCAAGTGGCCTCCCGGTACTGTACGCCTCGAGTTGCTGAAGCAAGATCACACTGCTGACATCATCCTCCAACCTCGTCCAACATCCAATCCAAATGACCCTCTCAACTGGCCAAAATGGAGAAAATATCTCAACTTCGGGCTTGCTGCCTTCTTTGCCTTGATGGTAGCTGCCCAGGTGTCGGCCACAACTCCAACATGGGGACCTATGGGCACCGAACTCAACTTCAGCGACGAAGTTCTCAATGACACCTATGCAATTGGATGTGCCACGCTCGCGCTTGGTGGTTTCATGCTTATGCCTTTCGCGCTCAAGTATGGTTTGCGGCCCGTCTATGTGATTAGCTGCGCTGCTCAGCTGGCTGTGATGATCTGGGCTGCTAAGACCCAGACCGCTGGTGACTGGTGGGGCGTGAACGCAGTTCAATGTTGGCTTGGAGCTCTAGGTGAATGTATGGTGCAGATGACAATTAGTGACATCTTCTTCATTCACCAACGTGGCTTGATGAACTCAATCTATGTCTGGTCTGCCAATTTCGGCGGCAGCCTTGCTCCAGTAGCTGCCGGCTTCATCACCGCCTCGCAAGGTTGGCGTTGGGTCTGGTGGTGGTGTGCTATTCTATTCGCAGTGGAAACCGTTGTTATGATCTTTGGGTTCGAAGAGTCAAAGTTCAACTGGACTGAAGTTGTGCAAGGGAGACGTCTCGATATTGAAGATCGAGAAGCCATCGTGAATGGCAAGGCCGATGAGAAGACTGGGACATTGAATGCCCTAAGAATTCCCGAAACTCAAGTAGACGATCCATTATCAAATGGTACAACTGTGGAGATTGATCGGTCTATCCCTCGGAAACCATACTGGCAGAGATTGGCACTCACCACCACAACAAAGGGTCCATGGACGCTGTTTGCGAGGCATGCATATCAGCCATTCTTTATCATGTTCACTATCCCGGGTGTCGGCTACATCTGCCTCGTTTACGCTGTACTGCTCTCCTGGGGTACGGTCATGAGTGCAGCTCAAAGCACGTACATGCTCGATCCGCCATACTCTTTTGACTCGACTCAGATTGGGTTGATGCATCTGGCGCCCTTCATCGGAAATACCATCGGTGCTCTGGCTGGGGGTCCGATAACTGACTGGCTGGTCTTGAAACTCGCCAAGCGTAACAATGGCATCTATGAGCCGGAAATGAGGTTGTGGGTGCTGGTGCCATTCATTCCTTTTCAGATTGCTGGCCCTTTCTGGTTCGGCTATGCCCTCCAGGAGGGACAGTCATGGGTGTCGGTGGCATTCGCAACAGCAGTCAGCCATTTTGGAACCGCTCCAATCTCAAGCGTGACATTAACTTACATGTTAGACGCATACAATGAGGTAAGCTTATTTGCCATTGTGATCGTGATCAATAGAGAAGAGTCTAATTCAAGCGGCGCAGATCGTCGGAGATGCCCTTGTGGCTCTGACTTTCTCGAGGAATACCTTGAGTACTGTCTTCGTCTTTGCAATGACGCCTTGGATTGCAGCCGTCGGCATGTCAAATGTCTTCAACACAATCGGAGCCATTGGCACAGCAGTTTTACTCTTTGCCTTCGTGTTCATCTGGAAAGGCAAGCAATGGCGCTTTCAACACGCCAAACGGTACAAATACTACGCAGCGAGACAATTCGATCCTCGACCTATTAGAGAGTATGCATCTTAATCAACATCAAGTTCCCTGCGTGTCAGCACTGGGGTATGATATATACGAGCAGTAGTAGGTTGAGTAGTCAACACGATATAGTTTTTATAGATGCGGAAGAACATCACATATGCAGTAGTTGAGCCAAATCACCCAGGGAAGCCCTAATTTTCGGGAAGCAAAGGAGTATATTATTACGTTAGGTATTAGAATAGTTCATAATCATTCCGAGTCTTCAGAGTCTGAACTCTCTGAATCCGTATCCTTGACCGCATCTTCTGTGGTGAGTGTAGCAATTCTCGCAGCTAGGACCGCATCAATTTCATTACCATTGTCCTGGGCTTCAGCAAAGAAAGGATGAGAACCATCCAGAGGTTTTCCCTGACACACGTAGCCCATTGGGGTCTGTGCTATATCCTGTCCCTTTCGACGAATCGACAGCCATTCCATCAAGAACTCGGCAAGACTCTCGACAGGTATCGCGGCTGTGTCGCCTGAATCATGGTCAATGCCGCCAGACACTGTATCCCCCCCACTTGCAAGTCTCAGGTACTTCGTCAAATCGGTATACTCGTTAAGATTAAAGTAGAGCCGTGCACCGAGAATGCCCAGCTCTGCGGACAACCACTTTGGGATTAGCGAGCCAGCCTCGCTGTGAGGTAGACAGTAGTAGGACAAAGAATTGAAATGTCGCATATTCTTCGTAGTTGGTGCGGCATACACGATCAGTTGAACCTGTGATTCTTTGAAATCTCGAATGACCGGGATGAGCTTCTCCGCTTCCTCGGGGATGACGACCAGGGCCGTCTGTGTTGTATGGCTCCAGAGAACCCACTCGACGGGTCTCTGTAATACGGGTTAGTTAGATGCAAACGTGGTGATGAAGCAATATGATTCATGTGAACTTACGAAATAATTGTCGTCGGTTCTGTGAGGTCCCAAGTCAACGGTCCTCCTGAATTCAGCCGAAACGAAGAGTCTGGACCCGGTCGCTTGTAGCTTCCATTGCGTTCCGAGGCAGGTATGTCCAAGGCATGAGAATGCATGTTCATAGCCCTCTTGTCCGCTCAAAATTCCTGTCGCTACGAAGCGAGAGATTACAGGATGCAGCTTCTTGAATTTCAAGGCTTCGTAGTGAGTAGGTTTCTGGACCTCCCGGACCTCCTCGACTTGGTATTCAACCTCTCGCTCTTGCTCGACCTCTTCCATCGCAGACTTCAGCCCAGCCGATATGCCGTCAGTGGACTGTCTCTGATTGCTGAGTTCTTTCACAATCTTTCGAAGCTTACATGTGAAATCTCGACTAGGTCGCGGCGATCGTTGTGAAGACTAGGGCCATAGAGTTGCTGAAGGGTCAGTTGCTCTGGGGAACGATGTACTTTGAGCAGGGCCTGCCCCTGAGCATTATCCATGGCAAACTTTGGATATTGCAACAGAGCGTTTGTTCGTCGACAGAACTCGAATCCTTGGGAGGCATACAGGCCCTGCAATTGCTCGTTGCCTCGACATGTCTGCTCCAGCAGCCAGCGGACAACGTGCGATGAGTCAATCGTCTCACTCTTCTTCGGCTTGCACACATCTCTGATGCTCTGGTCGACCTCCGGTGGCGCGACAAAAACGACTGACTGCGATGTCGCCAGTTGACGAAGTCTCATGGCGGCTATTTGATCAGCAATCATACCAATTATACAACCGTGAGACTTACCTTGCACAGTGTGATCCTTGGTCTGTCCAAGAGCAAGGGTAACAGCCCCTCGTGCTTCGCGTGGGAATTTCAGGTCAGTTCCACGGGTGTGAGCCTCGTCTAGATAGACCAGACAACCCTCCAAGTTATCAGCGAAAGGTGTGGCGAGAAGAGGGACAGGATCCCGTCCCTTTCGATACTGGACCCAGGCTTTGTTCTCGTCGAAATAAACAGCGGCTTGAGCTGCGTGGTCAATCTTGAGCCACGTCTTGATAAGAGCCTTGTTGGGCATTTCGAGAATGCAAGCCCCCGCATCGACGAGAATGCGGATCTTCTCCTTCGTCAGCATGGCCAGTAGCCCTTCTTCTGTGAGTCGCCGCTGAGTGGGATCAATCGCAACCATGTATCTACGATTGCGCGGTTGTAGTAGATACGTAATCACCTCAGCATTGGTCTGACTCAGACTGGGTAGGTCGTCCTGTCTGATCGTCAAAGGCAGAAGTCTTCGGTTGTCGTTTGTTCCGCTGAAACCCGTGGTTCTGGCAAGATCCTTCTTAGCGTTCAGGGAGAACAAGGGAATATCCCATCCCGAAGACTGCAATTTTACGTTGAACTGCTTGGCGTGGGCTGGAAACACAAAAACATTCATATAATGGTTGAGAACGTTCTGATCGTAACGAAGGTGCTTCCAGAGCTCTTCGACCTGACCTATATCATCAACATTGATGACATTCCAGTGCTGGAGGGAGTCAGGTAATGAACGCGATCCGGAGATCCATTGGTCGTACTCGGACGCGGGATCATCAGACCTTAGGACATGTCCAAGGCCCTCTTGTAATTGTGACAATGTAAGACCAGAATAGTAAAAAGCCAAGCACGTGAACAATATTGCAACATCAGGGTGGCCGAATTCAGCCTGCTCCGATGGCACACCTTTCGCCTCGTAAGGAACTGCAATAGGAACTCTCGTCGGATGGAGGCCGTACTGGACATTCCATCTCTTCTTGAGACAGAGGAACAGGATGCGAGTTACAAGAAGACCGCGGACGAGTAGAATATTCTTGTAGAACGACGATTTGGCCGTAAGCATTTTTGACACTCTCTCGAAGACCTCGCTTTCAAGGTCCTCCTCAGTCAGGATGCGCTCAATTTCTTGACGTAAGGTCGGTGGGGAGGAATATTGTAATTTAACGATTGATGAGCCGCCATCACAAATTGACTTCACAAGCGCTTTGCGAAGGGCGTCTTCGATGTCCGCGTGAATGATATGAATTACGGGGAAACCCTGAGGTCGCTCGACAACGTCAATCCCACGCGGAAATCGCTTATGGAGTTGAGACAGATGATCTTGAACGAGAGATAGCAGGTTCTGTGCAACAATCCAGCGACTAGGATGTCCGTCTAGGGGCAATAATTGGCCGCTGGGGTAGATGAGCTGTGTTTTCACCGCCAACGTAAAGTCAGACTCGTCGAGTACATCCCGGCAGACCTCGGTCAGCTGAGACTGAGTCTTCAACATCGTACGAGCCTCGGGAAGCTTAGCGTCGGCCAAGCGCTGAAAGCCACTCAATTTGTATGACAAGATATGCTCTGGGATGGCGAGAATGATGCCGGAACTTCTCATTATGCTTGTGTGATGGTCATTGTAAAGCTTCAGTATGTCCATGGTTGTCGGGGTACGACGGGAGAATGGAACATGCCTCAACTCCCGCCCAACCAGACCTCCAATCCTCGACTGCAGAGTTTGTGCTGTCTGTAGTAGCAGTGCCTTTGGAATAATCAATCGGCATATGCTGTTCGTATCGGCTAGAACAGCGACGGCCATGGGAACAATGCAAGAAGTTTTGCCTGTAAAAACAACGGTCTCAGTATCATATACAGTGGTCCAAAGATAATTGCGCAACAAGCACTCACCTTTTCCCATATTCAATTGAAGAACCGAGTTAGAACCAGACTGTGGGCTGATAATGGCTTTGGCGACATCAACCTGCTCAGGGCGGATGAGCAGATTGCTTTCAATCTCCAGGAGCAGCCAGTCCGGGTATTCCATGGGATTCCAGTTCGTGTGTCCGGTATCTCGACACTGTTCTTTCATCTTTTCAGGATCATACACCCAGTCGCGTTTCATCTGCTCCTTTCTGATCCTCAAGAGCCGCTGGAGGCTTGTGACAATCACACCATAACGAATTATGAACTCCTTCATGCCTTTGCCGAACTTGCAATGTGAACTTGACCGCAGTTGCTCAAGGGCTGTCACTGTTGTGATGCGCGGCCCCATGGTTGCCAACTCCAGCCATCTCAATCGTGCGTCATTGCCACTAAGTGTCATGCGTAGATAAGTCAAATGCTTATGGAGCGTGTTCCGGGTCGTGCGGATTTGCTGGAATACTTCATCCATTGACGGCTCATTAACGTGCTCTTTGCCCTGCGCTTTTACATTGTGCAACGCTGCAACGCTTTCGAGTAAATCGGCTCCATACTGTCTCCAGAGAGGCTTTGGTGACTTGACAAAAGAGGACAAAATGCACTCCAGCTCGTGTATCTCATTGCAAGAAGTCTCTCCATTTAGCGGCAGCTTTGTGTTCGCTTGAAAAACCATCTGAGGTATGCGAAGGTTCTCATTGCTGACGATAGCTGTACTTTCAGGAAAGGACGGCATGCTCTTTAGCAGCAGCTCTTGCGAGAAAGACGGCAAAAGGTTCTCTCGGGCTGTCTTGTAACAAGTATCTGGCCTTGCTTGCCATTGTGACGGCTTCGAAATTTCAATCGCGCCTGCGTAATGAGCCAGGATCGCTTGAACCTCATTCGCATAACTTAGCAACAAGGCGTTGCTATAAAGGCGTGACCATTCATTGCCCACGTTCTCCATGACTTCATCGATGTCTAGGAAACTGGGTTCGAACTTTTCGAAAGAAGGAGCAGCTGTCGGCCACTGCTTCAGAAGAAACTTCGCGAGCGACACTCGTTCAGTCCTGCGTCGACTGATTTCCGAGGTCTTCGGCGTGCGTCCTCTTGCGGTTTTGATTATGGCATCTTCGGTGCAGATGAACTTGGAGATGTGCTCCACAGAAGGCGGCATGTAATCTTTGAAACCCTCGAAAGATGCACACGGCGGGGGTTCGAGTCGCTTCAAGTCTCCCACCAAAACGAACCCACATAACAGCCGAACTGCAGCCATGTCCTGTTTCTCGGAGAAAGACAGAAGACCCAATCTGAACATGGCCTTGTGAATACCCTCAGGATTTGTCATACGACAGAAGTTCACCAGGCTGCCCCACTGCTCCTCTAGACCGTTATCAATACCGCTGCTCAATGATCCCGTGAAGCCGTCAGCTTGGGCATGAAATCCACCAATGAAGTTTCCCGGAAAGCTTCGAAGGACCTCGACAAAGTTAATTGAAGTCGGTATTGTGAATGGCTGCTGCTGGAGGAGCTGAACCGTCTGGAAGACATTCTTGGCCTCGCGAGAGACGGCATAACGGTCACGAGGCCTGTAGACTTCGTCATGCTTTCGAGTTTGCAAGCTGGCGTCTGTTAAACCGCGTTCGTACAATCCACGGCGGACTTCGCCTCGATGTCCTAGATGCTGGTCGGAGATGCCACCATCTTCAGTGCTGGTGGCGCTCTGGTTGTCGAAAACACTGAGCCGGTCAGACTTCTCCAAGATCCTTCGAATGATAGGGCGGTAGCAATCATGCTGAATGCTTGCTGTTTGCTCCGCGTGCCACCGAACTGTCTGCAGAATCCTCATGTTCTTTGGATAGTACACTCTTGTAGGACTTAACTGCTCAATTGCTTGAAGAAGGGGCACATTCCTGGCATGAATAGTCGTCCAGGGCTGATAGAGTCCTGAATCCAGCAGGTGGCAGGCCTCCTCCGCTCCTGTGCATCCTGTGAGAGGATCTGGGAGGACAAATGATGTTGCTGCATGGAACAAGGCCTTAGAGTATAGGAGTCGTGGCTCTGGTGGACATGTAAGACGCCCAAGAACTGGGTCGATCTCGAACTTGCCATAGCCACTGCCGTTGGTACAAACACTGACATGCATGCCGCGCAGCTCATAAGAAGGGAATCCCAGCTTAGCGAGGATGCTTCGCCTCTCGCTATCCAATGTGTCTCGCAACACCAGCTTGCTCTCGAATCCATATAATGTTCCCGCATCTTGATTCGGGTCAATTTCCGCCGACATCTGTCGAATTTCCAGGAGTCCTCGACGGTTAACACTAAATGAGAGATCAAGTCGTTTAAGCTCCACCGCGAGGCCTCCAGCAGGCTGATATACAGTCAAGTGCTGGGGATCTTCGAAATTGCGAAATATCGCATGGATTTGCTTGCAGACTTCGGATTGCGGATCGACCAGGACTACTTGACGGCGTATCGCTTTGCGCGCGTAGAAGTCGAACACCCAGTCACCCTGCCTAGTCTTCCATATTTCTGGCTTTCTTCGAATCTCCAGCTTCTTGTGATACAGATTGAACCAATGAACACAGTCATCTATCAGCTCCGCTGGTAAATCGAAGTCTGTGGGTCCTCGAAAGACGTGGCGGGGAACGAGTTCCATGAGGCCGTTGGGAGTCACGGCTCGGATGATCACATCGTCGCCGCGGCGGCCAAAATGGACCTCGTGCCCAGCCATTTGGTAAGCCAGCTGGTGGTCCATGCCACTAAGGTACGACGGATATGTGCGAAGGTGCTGGTCCCCAAATAGCTCCTTGACCACGGGAGCTTCTCTGACCTGATGGGGCAGTGAACCCAACGGCTTGCCGTCCACAAAGAGATGCCCTTCGAGAAAATTATAATGAACAACCGACCGTCCAACCAAGCTGCTCCCTTCAGAGGTCATGGTTGCAACGACCCAGTTCTCATGGGGACTGGCAAGAAACTCCCAGCCAGAAAACCGTCGTCTCCCTGGCGCATCATGAGAACCGGACCAGGTCTTGTTGAGAGCATTGCTAAGGCTGTGAAGGTTGGATGTGATGGATTTCCTGAGAACCCCTTGAATATGATAGACGAGCTTCATGTCCCTCATGAGCATGCTTGCCAAGTATGGTGGAAGTGTGGTCGGGTCCACCACCAAGTTTTCCTGAAGGGCAATAGATGCCTCGATGAATGAGCACAGATCGTTTGAATGGAGCGGAGCCTTGGAGGCAGTGAAGACTGCAAATGTTCGTCGGCAGAGGAGGGCAGCCCAGAAGCCGTATGTCGCTGCTCGCTTGGCTGCACTTTCATCCGTCGCATGGTTGAATTCGATGCGAAGGCGCGTGATCCATTCAAGTGTGGCCTCACGAACAAGAGTCAGTAGTCGATGTGCATTCTTTCGGGTCGACCCACTCGTAAGGTCGTGGATTCGCAGAATGATGGTTAGCAGGAGCTCCATGCAGTTGGTCTCACGCCAGTTGGGTTTGATCGTGCGCAGGCGCTTCTCGACTTGCTCGGCGAGCCGTTGGCAAAACAATCCGTCGTTGAAGACGATGTGCACGTCTCTCAATACATCATCAGTGTGATGAGCTGGACCCGCCTGAAGTACCAAGGAGTTGAACAGATACATTGTATCCTCAGCGCTGAAGTTGATGTTTGAGGATCCGAGCTCGACCAGCATTGTCATCCAGCGCCTGCTAGTGCCTGCAAGCAGTCGTTGAAGTGCCATGAAGTCGTGCACCGACATATCCGGCGGACACTTGGTCTGACTAGCAATGGTCTCATATGAAGTTGGGCCGTTGATGGTTGCAGGCGGATGTGATGGCATGTCAATGACAGAGCTTGTGAGGCATTGAGGGACATGCAGGCCGCAGAGATGTTGAAATGTAATAGGCCGCTCGTAGTCACTGATCCAAACGGATGACGCCTGGTCATAATAGTGAAACTCGAGTGCCAGCGGCAACAGAATGTCGTCCAGGTCAGCTCTCATCTTCACAGTCCTGTAGTGAGTGTCAAGAAATGACTTCTTTTCAGACGCCAAAGAAATGCCGTGAGACGCTGTCAACATGTATGGATTAAGTTGACGGTAATTCTTCAGCAACATCTGCGGTGCAGAGGACTTGAGCGGCTCGCTTGGATGAGCCAGATCTTTGAAGACCATCCATGTCGCATTTCGATATGCTTGAATAAAACGAGGAATGATAAGCTCAAACACCACTGCGGCTTTCTCTGTTGCGCTAACAGGGAGGAAGTCTTCGTGGATGTCGATCTTTATCCGATTACGAATGCGCCACAGGAAACATCTCCTACAGTCATTAATATTGCGTTGACCGTCAGCATCGAATGTACAGGTACAGGCTTTAGATGCGTATTCTTCGCTCAAGTTATCATACTTTTCACAAGCTTTCCGCCATTCGCGCTCCTTGTTTTGCCGTGATTGGTGAGAATCATCTTCTATCTCGTCCAACAAATCTGCCATCTCGTCATCCACGTCGAAATTCTTGAGATACATGACGGCGAAGCAGGCTGAGTTGGGATCGCTGAAGATGGTCTGTGTACTCCACACGCAGTTGTCGCATCGGCTCTTGAGATACCGCTGAATAGTTTGGAGGCGTAGCATGTCCGACATTGTTGGTAATTGCAGCACATCGAGCGCGTCGGGTGTGAAAACCGGATGATAATGTCCGAGGAGAGGACAGGCTCGGACCGCACGCTTGTCCATGCTAGCCCACAGCTCGAAAACCCTGAGCAGGAAGACGCCCATTTGATCTGGCTTTGATTTGTAAACACCATGACCAGCCTGAATGAGTTCAGTCACGGATTCGGCGAGCTTGACGCAACGGTTCTGGCAGAGTGTGTCCGTTTCATACTCTGAAATGTCCTCGAATTGAATCTCGTTTTCCAATCTGGCAAGTTGGAAGTAACGATCCGCAAGCATCCGTACTTGTTTGATTGTTCCATCATTGATCGGTGGTAATAGAATAGATCCATATCCTGTACGACTCATTTGTGGCGTGTTCAGTAGATGCTGAAGATAAGGGCCGCTTCTGGGCAGAGATAGCATGAGAGACTTTTCATCCGCGCGCTGGGGAAGCTTGGGAATTTGACGTGTATTTCGTCTCTTGTAATGTGCCCAGGCATCCTCGACTCTCTCTGTTGAAGCAGTGATGATCTTCTCACAGAAGGTACCAACAGACGCGAAGAGTTCTTCATAGAGAGTAGCGACATCTCTGGTAGCTCGCTCCCTCTCCATCTCAAGCTTTGCAAGACGACGGCACAGCTTGTTCCTGAGAGTGATGGAAATTTCCGCTGCGAACGTTCCAACGCCGTCCTCCAACAGCTTCGCGAGCATAGCGCAGATAAGAAACTTGTAGCAGGCTCGACCGCGCTCATATCCTAGGATGAAGAACAGCTGGCGCTGGACGGCAACCCGCAACGTGAGCCAGGACGGGTCTCGTCGCCACGGAAGCTGTGATTGCTCGGACTGCTGGATATGCACGTCATCTCTGACTCGTTTTCGGATCATGGGCACTGTGATGGGGTGACCAATTGCCTCGAGCAAGAGCATGAGGAATTGGACGATAAGGCCTGGGTCGGTGGTATCTCGGTTCTCAATCACATTAACCCCCGCCTTGACTGTACGTGCGGCAAAACGCTGTAGAGGTTCTTCGGAGGCTTGCTCAAGGAAAGTCGCAAGGCTGTACTGGAAGGAAGGATTTTCGAATTTGCTCAGGGGAATCTCGACTGCGCGTCCAGGAAAGTCCCAGAGAAGAGCATCAGCAGCGAGGACGTCCTTCGCGCAGGGAGATGTCTCGAAGACCTCAAAGACGACGATGACGTCTTCATCGTCGCTGTGAGAAATGGTCATCAGATATTTGGTCAGTACAATGCATGTCAATTATTGTTTGAACTCACCGGCCTTCAAGGCGGATCAGTAAAGCAGCATTGTGCTCGGCGATACGTAGGATGAGCAGGTCGTCCAGCTGCAGGTCTGCCCATTTCTGCAACAAGGCGTCCGCATCAATGCGCTTCTCGTTTATGCCATAGCACGAATAGAGAGATCGCTCAATAGTGGACCATGTTCCCGCTTCGCCTTCACTGCTGAGCTTGCGAAGAAGCTGGCAAGCCTTTGAGGTCCGCGCGAGAATAGCTGTGCTGACTGCTTCCGGGTTTTCGTCGGGGCGACCCGGCAGCCTCACGGGGAGTACAAAGTGATTGAAGATACTACTCAGGGACGCCATTTTGCGACATCTCTCGAGTGTTGAATGAGTCGAGTACGGGAGTGAGTGTGAGGATAGATTTAAACGCGAGATCGTCGCGCGGCGAAGCAGAGCCGCAAGGTGAGACCTCCGTCAAGGTGTAATACAGATGAATGAATCAAGTCGGCTTGCTGCGCAAGGTGATAAAAATTACAGAGACTGATGAAATACGAGGTAGGCGAGAAGAGAGTTATGAATGATGATGAGTGTGTTGGGAGGGACGGTGCACGTGGAAGGTGGAAGGAAGGAAAAACTCTGAAGACGGAAAACGCTCAGATGAATGTTGGGACAGATGAGCTGAAGTCGCGTTTTCCACAAGAAAACAAACCACTAGACCTGTATGAGAGCGCGACAAATACTCCCCCTCACACTGCGACTTCAAAGACAAACGATATCACAATGACTGTAGAAAGTAATGGAAATGGGAGACGGGCCGGTCCGCTCTATTGGGTCTATACGGGCATGCGTATGGTTGAATATTCATGAAAGGCTTTTAACCTTGTATGAGATAAATCAGAGGGCCAGGGGAGGCTGCATCTGCTCACAGACATTTTCTTCCAACATCCAATTAGGTGCTTTCATTAAGATGTTGGAGGCCGACCAAGTCAGCCACTCCGTTTTGGTATCAACAGAAGATGCGGTGAGCGGTGAGATCCTTGTCCTCTTAGTCGGTTCTTGCCCACATCTGTTTCCTGGCTCGCCTCTTGATCGCGATTTCTTGTGTTAATTCGTAAAACGTCAATCTTCTCGCATGTTAAATAATGAGTGACAAGAATCAACATATCGATAGCATGAATACTCTGTGACCCAATACGAAATGCTGTCTGTTCAGCTCTCATTATTTCAAACTTCAAACTCCAAAGTCAATGTTGATTGTGATCCAAGATTCTACTAGCTACAAAACATAGAATCTCAAAAACGCCTATTCCTTCCCCAAGGTGAGGCTCACCCATCTCCAAGACCTTCGTCTCCAGATCCTAGAAATATAAGATATTACTCCTTCATCTAAGACCTCTCTCTTCTGCTGTAATCTAAGTCTGTACACTTTCTCCCTTAGATATGGTAGCCTCTTGTAGCTATATTATATGATCATCTTTCCTTATTGTAGAGACTTGTCTGATCTAAGCACTAATTTCAGTCAAAAAACGAGCCTTGAGAAGTTCAAACTCATCGTCACAAACCTTGGGGTATGCGCAGCAAGACAGCCTTCTTGGGCAACCTTTTGCTGTCTTACAGAATTCTTCTCACACAAAACAGATTTGAAATTTTCAACCTCTATTACCCCTCCGTTTCTACATCTAGGCGCTCGAATGGTGATGCTTGTCTTTTCCATAAAATGATACCAGCTAGAACCAAGTGTCTCAATTGATGCGGCTAACATTGAAACATGCGCGCACACTGTCAGTCCCAGTCTGTGGTTGCGTCGTCGATCGAAGCCAGTCCTAGATCTTCTATAATCTTAATAAGAGACGGTGAGAAGAAGAAGGCAACTTATTCTAGACACAAGACAAGCAGATTCAGTCTCCTTCGACAATGAAGAACCTAGGCACGGCAGAACAACTTTGTTAGCTAACGAATTTCGTAAACTTGTCTACTCGCCTATGGAAGTAGATATGGCATCTTCACTACTTGTGAGCAAGGCATTAGGGACATCTCCTTGCCCTCTACAAATTAGATGTATGGAGTCGTATACTTATAACTTTAGCGCTCTTACAATTTGCAGATGCACTCGGCTCATTTGTCTAAAGCGCCGCCAAGGTAGCCTGTGAGGTGAACACGAGATTCAACTGCAGACACACTACCGAATCGGAACAGTCAATGTTCTTGCATTCTTGACAATTCCTTCAATCTAGTAGACTGATAACGCGCTGAGTTGGAGCACAATCAGGAGACAACAACTCAGAACATGAGCTCGGCACTGTGCGATCTAGGTCTCATCATTGTTCGCTCAAGAATTTCAAACAGTGTAAGACTCTTTGAACTCGCTGTTATCTGTAATAATACTCCTTCGGTTAATCCTGGTAAGTAGCTGCAGGCCCCCGCGCCACATGCCTACTCCGCCCCCAACACCGCAACTCATGCAGCATCTCTCGATACAATTCGCTGGCTTTGAACATCCGATACGCCCGATTGTCAACGTAGCATGGAGGCGAAGTAAATAGCACAGCCTTATAAACCCCTCCAGTGCCCATTTCTTCAAGACATATCTCTTGTGCTTGAACTTGCATCTTGCCAATGGTGTCGATTTCGACTCGATCCGACATCTCAATTACAGATTCACGCAGCGGCCTCTTCGAGTCCACCCATTATAGAATGAATATCGACGTACCAGACCACAATTACCATGGAGATGTTAACCCACAGTCCAACACGACGACTTCGATCAAGCTCACGCCAATAACCAGCCGTGTCTCGAGAGCCAAAAAAGGAGTTCCTGTGCATACATGTAATTTTTGTAACCCACCAAAAGTAAGAACCGACTCCTTCTGCTATTTTTTCATTCGCTAAGTTATTTACTAGACATTTACGCGCGCTGAGCACCTACGGTATGTCTGAGAAAGGTCTCGCAGTGAGAATTTGACTATTCTAAATGTCTCCAGTCGTCATCTCCTCAGTCATCAAACGCCCGCCTATCCCTGCACTTGGCCAGGCTGCGACAGGGGATTTCACAGAGCCGATCTTTTGGCACGGCATCTTCAGAGACAGTAGGCTCAATTCCATCTCATGTTATCCATCAAGAAATGTTTTCTAATGCAGTCTCAGTGGACAGGAGGAGGACAAGATCCCGCACTCTTTCAATGAATATGATACAGTAAATGCAAAACATGAGAATTCAAACCCAACGGATTTTAGTCCCCGCACGGGAACGTTCCATGAACCTTTTGAGGATGCGCTCAATCACATCGAGAATGGCGCTCCGAGCTTAGGAACGGGGCAGACATCACCACCACTTCTTCTCGATCCAGCGGCATTACTGCCACACTATCGGTCTGCGACTGTGTATAAGCCCATGCACACCATCGCAAGCCTGGGTAACAGCTCGTCAAATCAAATCGAGATACCAGCATTCGTCGAGGATGTACCATATCGCGACTTATCATACGGTGTGCAGTCCCTTTCTTAAGCTAGTACCAAGGGCTTCAGTCAAAATCCCAGGAGCCGCCAAATCAACATTTGGAGCACATCACATCTGAAATTTATTGACATAGTAGCAGACACTCTCGATGCCTTTACGGACTCAGGCTATGCTTCCCATGGAAGGTCACGTAAGCACCGCACAGCGCAAAATACGAGGGACGATTTGGAACCTCTTGACCATTATTCCAAAGCCCGGACAGTCTATTCCGATGCTCCAAGTGTTCAAGATGCCAATCTTAAATTGCACATCTCAGAGCTGGCCGAGGAGATAGCGTCTGCGCTTCCTCGCAGTATCCCCGTGCATCAACTCAACGACCTCGCTACCGTATTACCTTCACTATTACAGGCATTCGCGCTCAAGCTTGGCCGGGACCCATCTCAGCATCTACATATGCGTCTAATGTATCTGGTACATAGATATAGGATGTAGGTCGTGAAGTCATAATCATAATAATCAATGATGGCATGTACTAAAGAGTTGTTCCAGACGAATCTCGGATGCTGTCATCAAAACGTTTAGTATCACAGAACCCGAGGAAGACGAGTCCGTCGAAGGCAAAGTACCCACTGCTCCTTTTGAATCCATGTCTATGGCTGATAAAATGGCATTATGGCAAAGTAAAGAGTACAGCCCTGAACATAATTTGACACTTACAGACTTGTGGGATGACGGCATGGATATTGGTGATGCCTTTGAAGCTTTTCCCGAACTCCAAGAGTATAGCGATATGCTTTTACGCTCTAGCGCGTTTTCGTGGCTGCTCCATTCGGTCCAAAACCAAGTCAACTTGGAGGTTCCTGGACTAAAGAATGGCAAGGGGCAGATCGAGATTCGACAAAAAATTCTAGATGTATTCGAGGAACCTAGGCGGTTGAGCAGAAGAGCGGCTTCCGCGACTCACACCATGACATTTCATCTTTCGTGGATATGGGACTTTTTCGACACTCAGGAATATGGCGTATCAGCTTCCGAAGCCCTGGGTCATGTTCTTGCATTGACTGGTACACCTTGCAATGCTTGGGCTACAACCCTCTCGCAGTATGTCCGCACTGTATGGCCAGATATTGGTACTCATATACTTGATTTATTCGAAACACTGCTCCAACAAGGGCCAAGAGCTGTATTCGAATGTATGTGTCATCTCTTGCGAATGGAGCACCAGCTCTTAGCTAACACTACTCTTTTTAAACAGGCATTCTATTTGACGGTACAGCATTATTCACAGTGGCGCATAACACTGAAAGATATATTGAAGTAATCGTAACTGGCTCTACACATTCCATTGCCGAGGTAGGTGAAGTGCTCGCTTGGATCGTTGCCTCGTTGAGCACTTCACCGACTGATGAGGATATTGTTTTTGTCTATCCATCCTGTGAAATCACTATTGGTCAGCATCAGCCGAAAGGACCTTCAACAATGGCATCGTCATTCTCACACGAAGAGCCTGTTGGCCACTTGGAAGAAGCAGAGCTACAAAGGATGAGGGTGATGGAAATGGGATACAACCATTTCCGAATCCCTATCTCTTTCGAGCATGCCCAGTTCCAAGAATTTCTTCGTCCCTTCCACGAGGGGCAACAGTTCTCTATTAGCAATGAGCCACAGAATACAACAGGAGATATCGCAACCCCAGCTCTTGTGAACAATTTCCGTCGAGTTACTCAGCGTGATCACTCCGCCGACTTCACTAAATCTATGGATGAAGCTGTCATCAGTGTTTGCAAGCTGGGCTGGTCTTTCGTATCGACGAATAATGACCCCAAGTCCTCAAACAGCAACGGAGCATGCTGGAGAAGCCTCTTCCGCAACCCAATCTTAGTACATGGATATCCTATCCCGAGAC